GTCTCAAAAAAAAAAAAAAAAAAAAAAATAGAAAAAACTGAGACAGGAGGATCACTTGAACCCAAGGATTGAAGGTTGCTGTGAGCTGTGATGCCATAGTACTCTACCCAGGGCAGCAGCTTGAAACTGTCTTAAAAAAAAAAAGTCCTGAGGCAAGAGAATAGTTACCCAAGAGTTAGAGGTTGCTGTGCTCCATGTAACTCTACTGAGGGTGACATAGTGAGACTCTGTCTTAAAAAAAGAATGTCATTTTTTAAATTGTATAATTCATAAATTGTTACAAAAATTCAAATAAGCATGAGCAGCACCTATGGCTCAGTGAGTAGGGCGCTGGTCCCACATACTGAGGGTGGTGGGTTTGAACCTGGCCCTGGCCAAATTGCAACAACAACAACAACAACAACAAAAGTAGCCAGGCATTGTGGCAAGTGCTTGTAGTCCCAGCTACTCAGGAAGCTCAGGCGAGAGAATCGCCTAAGTCCAAGAGGTAGAGGTTTCTGTGAGCTGAGACTATGAGACGCCATGGCATTCTACTGAGGGTGACAAAGTAAGACTCTTATCTCTGAGAAGAAAAAAAAATCAAATAAGCAATGAAAACCCCAAATCCCATAGATCACTCACCTGTCCCAGTGCCTCATCTAGACTCATTTAGAGATAAGCATCATCATCTATTTACCATGGTATCTTCCTGGCTTTTTGAGTACTTTTTTTTTTTTTTTTTGGAGACAGTCTCAAGCTGTTGCCCTGGGTAGAGTGCCATGTCATCACAGCTCACAGCAACCTTAAACTTTAGGGCTTAAGAGATTCTCTTGCCTCACCCTCCCAAATAGCTGGGGCTACAGGTGCCTGCCACAATGCCTGGCTGTTTTTCTGTTGCAGTTGTCATTGTTGCTTTAGCTGGGCCGGACCAGATTTGAACCCACCATCTGTGTATGTGGCTGGTGCCCTACTCACTGAGCTATGGGCACCACCATGCCCGGCTATTTTTTTTGTTGCAGTTGTAATTGTTTAGCTGGCCTGGCCCAGGCTCGAACCTGCAAACCTTGGTGCATGTCGCTGGAACCGTAACCACTGTGCTATGGGGGCCGAGCCCTTTTTGATTACTTTTCCATCTGTATACTTTATGTCTGGATTGTTTTCCACTGTTATCAACAGTGCTCCTGTGCTAATACTTTTAAGCAATTTAGTTCTTGATTTCTCAGAAATTCTTGTGTATAAGTGTCTTATATTCATTAGAGTTCTCATCCATAGGTGATGCTGGCAGCAGAACTCCGAAAGACCAGAAGGTAAGTTGGGGTGGATACAAGAAGAGTGAGAAAAAAGAATATAAAAATGGGAGAAGCTTTTGGCCTGATCATTGGTCAGGTTAGCCATCAGCATATAATCCTTTACCCTGTAATCAGCCCTGTAGATTGTAGTCCTCTAATAGATGTTAGAAGAATGCAAACAGAGGCTGGGTGCGGTGCTCACACCTGTAATCCAGCACTTGGGGAGGTGGAGGCAGGAGAATTGCTCGAGGCCAAGAAGTCCATGACCAGTCTGAGCAACATAGGGTGATCCTATCTCTATATTATAAAAAAAAAAAAAAAAAAACTGAACTAACTGGGTGTGGTAGCAGGCACTGTAGTCCTGCCTGCTCTAGAAGCTAAGGCAGTGACAGTGAGCTATGATTTTGCCTCCATAGTACTCCAGCCTGGGCAACAGAGCAAAACCCTCTCAAAAAAAAGAATGTAAAAAAAAGGAGGCCAGGGGCAGCTCCTATGGCTCAAAGGAGTAGGGCCCCAACCCCATATACCAGAGGTGGTGAGTTCAAACCCAGCCCCAGCCAAAAACTGCAAAAAAAAAAAAAAGATGCCAGGGTTTGGTGCCACTATGGCACCAGCCACATACACTGAGGGTGACGGGTTCAAACCTGGCCCCGGCCAGCTAAAAACAACAATGACAACTACAACAAAAAATAGCCAGTCGTTGTGGTGGGCACCTATAGTCCCAGCTACTTAGGAGGCTGAGGTAAGAGAAGTGCTTGAGCCCAAGGGTTTGAGGTGCTGTGAGCTGTGATATCACAGCACTCTACCAAGGGCAACATAGTGAGACTCTGTCTCAAAAAAAAAAAAAAAAAAAAGGCAGCCATGTCTAGTGGCTCATACCTCTAATCCTGACGCTCTGGGAGGATGGCTTGAGCTCAGGAGTTGGAGGCCAGCCTGACCAAGAGTGAGACTTCGCGTCTACTAAAAATAGAAAACCAGCTGGGTGTTGTGGTGGGCGGGCCTGTAGTCCCAGCTATTGGGGAAGCTGAGGCCAGAGGATTACTTGAGTCTGGGACTCTGAGGTTGCTGTGAGCTAGGGTGATGTCACTTTGCTCAAGCCTGGTGACAGAGTGGTACTCGGTCTCCCAAAAAAAAAGACAAAAGTAGAATTGAGTAGTGTCTAGTCAGGTGAAGTTAATCAAAGAAAGCTTCCTAAAGTTGATTTTTGAACCAATTTTATAAGGAAAAGTCAATTTTACCTGATTACTTATCCATAAGTAATCCAAACATAACTTGTTCCATTTGTTTTTTGAGGGGTTTTTTATGTCACCCTTGGTAGAGTGCAATGCCTTCACAGTTCACAGCAACCTCAAACTCTTGGGTTTAAGTGATTCTCTTGTCTCAGCCTCCCAAGCAACTGGGACTACAGGCGCCCACCACAACACTCTGCTATTTTTTGTTGCAGTTGTCATTGTTTAGCTGACCCAGGCCAGCCTCAGTGCATGTGACTGGTGCCATAACCACTGTGCTATAGGCACTGAGCCCTATTTGTTTTTTGAGAGACAAGTTATATCTTACTCTCAAGTTATTTCTATCCCATGCTACTATTTTAGAACTTGTTTCCTCTTCTCCTCTATAGCTCCGTGAAGCTATGGCTGCCTTAAGAAAATCAGCTCAAGATGTCCAGAAGTTCATGGATGCTGTGAACAAGAAGAGCAGCTCCCAGGATCTGCATAAAGGTTAGAATCCAGAAATACCTAGGTATAGGTGGGAGTGAATTCTTACGGAGATTTCATGAGTTGCTCGCTTGCTTTAGCATCTCAGAATCCTTTTCCACCTCTTTTTGTTTCTTTTTTTTTT